AAGCACTCACCCACATCAACCCCGATTGCTCCGCCAATGAAATCAACCTGGCCATTGATGAGCTAAACCGCGACCGCTCAGCCATGAGTGCCGTTGCTGCAAACGAAGCCTGTTATAAGTTAATCGTAAGCGCCAATAAATCAGCCTCTACCCGCACGGTATATTCTCCCCGACAATGATTTCCCTCACTGACTCGAGGAAATCATGGACAACACGAATACTTTAGAACAACGACACCACTATTGGCGAGATCACATCGATGACTTTCACGCGTCCGCTCAATCTGGAGCCGACTACTGTAAGCGCCACCAATTGGTCTATCACCAATTCAATTACTGGCGACGAAAGTTCAGAAATAAGGACAGTAGCACACAGATGACCGCTCAAGAGCCAAGTGGTTTTACTCGTGTTATTACCAGCCGTTCCACCTTGCCCACTGGCGTGAGCTTGGTGTTACCGAATGGTCTGGTGATTCAGGATATTGGTGCAACCAATATCGCTGTAGTTCAGCAGTTGCTGGAGATACTGTAATGACTTATAACCTTCGCCCTTCACTGAATATGACCGATATCTACCTGTATCGAGAGCCGGTAGACTTTCGCAAACAAAGTAACGGGCTCGCCGCTATTGTTGAATGTGAACTCGGACAGTGTCCCTTTTCCGGCGGGTTGTATGTTTTTATCAACCGGCAGCGAAATCGGATTAAGATGTTGATGTGGGAAAACAATGGCTTTGTACTGTATTACAAGGCACTGGCAGAGGAGAAGTTTATATGGCCACGCATCGATGACGACGTCTTAACGCTGAGCGGACAACAGATCAACTTTCTCCTGGACGGGCTGGATATTTCACGGTTGAAAGGCCACAAAAAGTTGCAATATAGCTCTGTTTTCTGAGGCGTTTTTATCGATATTCTGGTAGAATAATCGCCATGCAATCAAGGCAAAAAGTTCAACAAAATCAATATGACTTTAGCAGTTTGAGTAAGGCTCGGTTGCTGAAATTACTGGTTGATGAACGTCTAAAAAACACCCGGATTGAGTCTCAATTCACCGAGCAACTGGAACAGATTGAAAAGAAGGTCGAGGAGCAGCAGGTAACCCTGACCCGGCATATCCGGCAACAGGAAGAGCATATTCGAATTCTCGAAGAGCTACTGCGTTTGCGCAAGATCCAGAGTTTGCCG